AGGCCGCCTGAGCCCCAATTGTGGGAAAGCCCCAGTGGGGCGTAGGACCCGGAAAGGTGTCCTGAGGGCCAGGTAAGGCCAAGGCCGCCTGAGCCCTATTAAGCAAAGGCCCCAGTGCAGGTGTGAGCACGAGCAAGGCCCCAGTGCAAGTGTGAGCACATTGTGTTAAGCCCCGGTGCAGGCTGCAAGAGCACGGGAGACAGGCCCCAGTGCGGGCTGCGAGAGCACAGGAGACAGGCCCCGGGGGTTAGGGTGCACCATGTCACCGAAGGCAGGGCACGGACTGGGACATCTCCAGGCACCATGCCAAAGAGGGTAAAAAGGCAGCCTCCCTTCAATATTACCATCAAAGACATGGCGGGCGAGATAGTGAGGGTGCATTAGACCCAATTTGGCATGGTAAGTAGGAGGCGCTGGGGGAGTTCACGGCACCCCAGGCCCCATCCTGCCACAGTGGGGTACCCACCCCTCCCACACAGTCCCCCCTACCCTCACAGTCCTTCCACCCACAGTCTGTCCACCCCAACACAGTCTCCTGCACCTCCACAGTCCTCCCCCACCCCCAACATCCCTGCCTACTTGGGACAGCCTGGGTCCAGGCCACTGCTGCCAGCCTTGTCCCACTTCTGTTTGCTCCAGCACACTGAGACAGTGTGCTAAGACACTGCCACACTGAGACGCTGCACACTGAGACAGTGTGCTGGAGCAGCAGGGGCATGCAGCAGGCATAGAGATGCTCTGGCCAGGTGCCAGAGCTTCTCTTTGGAGGACCCAGCCTCAGGTTACTTCTGGGCATCCTCCAGGAGTGCACCCTGCACCACTTTTTTTCTGCGTGGTGGTTTTTTTTTTTTTACTAGAATTTCCCAGTATGACGCTTACAGTCCGCACTGCAAATATGTAGCACGGGGAACATTTTTTCATTCCTAGCATGCTTCCTGTGGCATCTCAAACTGCTTTGAGACACCGCAGCAGGCACATGCTCACTCATCCGGACGTGGCCAGAGAGACCAGGAGGTACAGGCAGCTTAGTAGCTGAGACATTTTTTTATGAGCTGCTGTGTCGTGTGCATAACGAGAGAGATATTTTAATTAAAGATGGTGTCTCATGTTTATCACATTTTTGAATGATAGTCTATAAAGACATAACATTTTCATTTGAACTTCCTAATGCAAGCTGAAAGCAGTTGGTAATATATACCAGCTTCACTGAGCAATTGAAACAACTACAGGACAAGTTAGTTTAAGTTAAGCTTAGTTTAGTTTAAATATAAATAAATAATTTCAACACTTTTTTGGTTCAGGAATGTCTTGAAGTTGCTATCAGATAACAGAAAATTAATTCCCAAGAAGTTTTTTAATATATTAAGCTCTCTTGTTGCTGACATTGTTAATCTCTCTATTTGTCAAGAAAAAGTAGTCTTCCAGTATTTCAGCCTAGCAGTGGCGATACCAATTTTAAAAATACCTGAGCTTTCTAGGAAATATTTTGGTAGAGTCAATTTCTCCTCTTTCTTTTGTGCCAGAGGTTACTAAAAGCCAAATCCTACCAGCACTTCCTTGTGATGAATCTGAAAAATGTCATTATTTGGAGTGGGGCTTTGTACCTCTGCATTACTACAAGGTCCTGTGTATATGTGCTGGCCAGGGTTTTATGTCACTGTATTTATTCTTGTGCCTTTCCGTGGCATTTGATACTATTGTAATGTCACAGTGAAACTTCTGCATTGGATTATGTGTCACACTGTTCAAATAGTTTATATCCAAATCAACATATACAGCCTTTCCTCCTTTAGCCCCTGTGTTTTCAATGTGCTAAAAATGTTTGTAAGTTCCCTTAAGAATGAGTGTTTGAGTCTAACTTTTACTGTATTTTCAGACTCTCTCTTAAAAGTACTAGTAGTGCTTCTGAATTTCACCATCACATAGACACTTTTGAAACCCAGAAGAGTCTATCTTTTCTCAACATTAATTTGTTTCTTCTTGCTTGCAAAGAACATCATCTTGAGCAATTGTTTATATGTAATCTTCCTTTGAGGATCATATGAACCATTAATATATTTGGTAACTACTCCAGATCACATCTCCTGCCTCCCCACACAAATGTTCAGGTACTTTTATGCCCTTTATCAATCTTTGCTTCAGGAACCATACTGCTGATTCTCTCAGATATTTACAGGGGCTGCATCCAGACAAGCAAGCACTTGCCTTTGGGACACGTGCACTCAGGAGCCACGGATGGCAGCAGAAGCTGTCCTGGTCCTGTTTGAAGGTGCACGCCAGCAGGCCAGGCCGGTTCCATTTGCCATGTGCAGCCACTGGGTCTCAGGTGGTGCCACACCACCTCAGGCGTGTGCCTGCAGCAGGCCATGAGCACCTCAATGGCCCAGCCCACAGCCCCCACACACCCCTCACATCCTGGATAGCAAAGGGGGCAGGGGAAGCTCTG